AGGTTGGTTTGAGAGATTTAAGAATCGTAGTGGCATACACAGTGTGGTAAGGCATGGTGAGGCTGCCAGTTCAGACCAAAAAGCGGCTGAAAAATATGTGCAGGAATTCCAGGGGTACATAGAGGCTGAAGGATTGCAACCCCAACAAGTGTTTATGACAAAACAGGCCTGTTTTGGAAGAAAATGCCAAACAGGACCTACATTACACAGGAGGAAAAAGCACTGCCAGGACACAAGCCTATGAAAGACAGGCTAACCTCAATTATTTTTTTTATTAACACACTGGCCGATTCCCACCAAGGCAGGGTGGCCCGAAAAAGAAAAACTTTCACCATCATTCACTCCATCACTGTCTTGCCAGAAGGGTGCTTTACACTACAGTTTTGAAACTGCAACATTAACACCCCTCCTTCAGAGTGCAGGCACTGTACTTCCCATCTCCAGGACTCAAGTCCGGCCTGCCGGTTTCCCTGAATCCCTTCATAAATGTTACTCTGCTCACACTCCAACAGCACGTCAAGTATTAAAAACCATTTATCTCCATTCACTCCTATCAAATACGCTCACGCATGCCCGCTGGAAGTCCAAGCCCCTCACACACAAAACCTCCTTTACCCCTCCCTCCAACCTTTCCTAAGCTGACCCCTACCCCACCTTCCTTCCACTACAGACTGATACACTCTTGAAGTCCTTCTGTTTCGCTCCATTCTCTCTACATGTCTGAACCACCTCAACAACCCTTCCTCAGCCCTCTGGACAGCAGTTTTGGTAATCCCGCACCTCCTCCTAACTTCCAAACTACGAATTCTCTGCATTATATTCACACCACACATTGGCCTCAGACATGACATCTCCACTGCCTCCAGCCTTCTCCTCGCTGCAACATTCATCCCCCATGCTTCACACCCATACAGGATCGTTGGTAAAACTATACTCTCATACATTCCCCTCTTTGCTTCCAAGGACAAAGTTCTTCATCTCCACAGACTCCCAAGTCCACTGCTCACCCTTTTCCCCTCATCAATTCTATGATTCACCTCATCTTTCATAGACCCATCCGCTGACACGTCCACTCCCAAATATCTGAATACATTCACCTCCTCCATACTCTCTCCCTCCAATCTGATATCCAATCTTTCATCACCTAATCTTTTTGTTATCCTCATAACCTTACTCTTTCCTGTATTCACTTTCAATTTTCTTCTTTTACATACCCTACCAAATTCATCCACCAACCTCTGCAACTTCTCTTCAGAATCACCCAAGAGCACAGTATCATCAGCAAAGAGCAACTGTGACAACTTAATGTGTAGTAATGCTAGTGGGGATTACAGAGTGAAGCCTCTACTCGTGCATTAGTCTGAAACTCCCAGTGTGTTCAGGAAAAACAATGTCATCAAGGCTAATTTGTGTGTGGTGTGGAGGGCAAACAGTAAGGCATGGGACACTAGAGACATTTTCTACGACTGGTTTTATCATGTGTTAGGCCCCACTGTGAAAAATTACCTCCTGGGAAATAAATTGGACCTTAAGTGCCTCCTGGTATTAGACAATGCTCCTGCTCATCCTTCAGACTTGCTAGAGCGAATTTCTGGGGAGCTGAGTTTTATCAAAGTCAAGTTCTTTCCTCCTAATACCAGTCCTCTCCTCCAGCCCATGGAACAGCAGGTCATTTCAAATTTCAAAAAACTGTACACCAAAGCAGTGTTTCAAAAGTGCTTTGAAGTGACCTCAGACACTCGATTGACCCTAAGAGAGTTTTGGAAAGATCACTTTAGTATCCTCAATTGCATAAACCTTATAGGTAAGGCTTGGGAGAGAGTGACTAACAGGACCTTGAATTCTGCTTGGAGGAAACTGTGGCCAGAATGTGTACAAGAGAGGAATTTTGAAGAATTTGGGGCTAACCCTGAGGAGCCTATGCCAGTTGTGGAATCTATTGTGACATTGGGGAAGTCCATGGGGTTGGAGATTAGTGGGGAGGATGTGGAAGAGTTTGTGGAGGACGACAATGAAGAATTAATCACTGATGAGCTGCAAGAGCATCTGCAAAAGCAAGAAGCCACAACTGAGAAAACTGCTTCAGAGGAGGGGAGAGAGAAATTGAGGAAGTTGCCTTCTTCAATGATTAAGGAAATGTGTACAATGTGGACAAAGGTGCAACCCTTTATGGAGGAAAATCACCCTGACACAGTTATTGCAAGCTGTGCTGGTGACTTTTACAATGGCAATGTTGTGACCCACTTTAGGAAAATCTTAAAGGTATGCAACAGAGCTCTCTGGACAGATTTTTAGTGCGACAGAGGTCTAGTGACTCAAGATGTTCCCAGTCTCATTAAAAAACAAAGAAGGGAAGTAACCCCAGAAAAGGACTTGCTACCTCAAATCCTTACGGAAGGGGATTCCCCTTCTAAAAATTAATACACCTCCATCTCCCCTCCTCCCATCTCATCATTCATCACTACATCTTCAATAAAGGTAAGTGTCATTTATTCTTCATTTGGTACAGTACATTATTTATTGTGCATGTATTCTTCTTTTTCTGTTTAGGAAAATGTACATTTCATGTGAAAAAAAACAAAAATTTCATACTTTTGGGTGTCTGGAACGGATTAATTGGATTTCCATTATTTCTTATGGGGAAAATTAATTCGACTAACTATAAATTCGTCTAACGATAAGCTCTCTGAAACGGATTAATATCGTTGGTCGAGGGTCCACTGTACATGACAAAAGTCCTAGTGAGAAAACAATACTGGACAAAGCTCCAAGCGAGAAAACATTACTTGACAAAGCTCTCTGTGAGAAAACGATACTTGACAAAAGTCCCAGTGAGAAAACAATACTGGACAAAGCTCCCAGTGGGAAAACAATACTTGACAAAGGTCCCAGTGAGAAAACAATACTGGATAAAGCTCCCAGTGGGAAAAACAATACTTGACAAAGCTCCCAGTGAGACAACAATACTGGACAAAGCTCCCAGTGGGAAAAACAATACTTGACAAAGCTCCCAGTGAGACAACAATACTGGACAAAGCTCCCAGTGAGAAAACAATACTGGACAAAGCTCCCAGTGGGAAAACAATACTTGACAAAACTCCCAGTGAGAAAACAATACTGGACAAAGCTCCCAGTGGGAAAATATTTGACAAAGTTCCTAGTGAGAAAACAATACTGGACAAAGCTCCCAGTGAGAAAACAATACTGGACAAAGGTCCCAGTAAGAAAACAATATTTGACAAAAGTCCCAGTAAGAAAACAATACTGGACAAAGCTCCCAGTGAGAAAACAATACCGGACAAAATTCCCAGTGGGAAAACAATACTGGACAAAGCTCCCAGTGAGAAAACAATACTTGACAAAAGTCCCAGTAAGAAAACAATACTGGACAAACTCCCAGTGAGAAAACAATACTGGACAAAGCTCCCAGTGAGAAAACAATACTGGACAAAACTCCCAGTGAAAAAAATTTACTGGAAAAAACTCCCAGTGAGAAAACAATACTGGACAAAGCTCCCAGTGAGAAAACAATACTGGACAAACTCCCAGTGAGAAAACAATACTGGACAAAGCTCCCAGTGAGAAAACAATACTGGTCAAAACTCTCAGTGAGAAAACAATACTGGACAAAGCTCCCAATGAGAAAACAATACTGGACAAAATTCCCAGTGAGAAAACAATACTGGACAAAACTCCCAGTGAGAAAATACTGGACAAAGCTCCCAGTGAGAAAACAATACTTGACAAAACTCCCAGTGAGAAAACAATACTGGACAAAACTCCCAGTGAGAAAACAATACTGGACAAAGCTCCCAATGAGAAAATACTGGACAAAACTCCCAATGAGAAACCAATACTGGACAAAGCTCCCAGTGATAAAACAATACCTGACAAAGCTCCCAGTGAGAAAAAAAAGTTTATTGTGAGTGTGTTAATGCCGCAATTCTGTCATATTTACAACCTGCATTACATTTTATTGTTTGGCAACAAAAAAAATTATTTTTATATTTATTATGGTTTTAATTAGACCTCATGCATAATCTGAAACCTTTGCAATGATTTTATTAAGTAAATTATTTAGAATTTAACTTAGGCCAAAATATTTAAAGATTTTTTTTTTTTGGATTTTTAACATGGAGAGCTAGCACCTAGGATAACGCAATTAAGTCATCTTATTTTCATTGGGGTTCTTTTTATTATTATTATTACAATCAAGGGGGAAGCGCTAAACCCGGAGGATTATACAGCGCCTGGGGGAGATGTGGAAGGCATTCAGGCTTAATTTGGGGAACTGGAGCACAGATCCAATTCCCTAAATCAAGAGCCCCTCACCAACATCAAGGAACCTTCCTTGAGGGGTGGGGTTCTTTTAATCTTGTTCCCCAGGATGCAACTCACACCAATCAACTAACACTCAGGTAAGTACTTAGTTCTAAGTGAACTGGGACAAGTGTTGGGAAATATGCCCAATGTTTTCACCTGTTCAGGGGATCGAACCACGGACACTCAGTGTGAGTTGAGTGCACTAACCAAGTCACAGGACACCCAATAAACTCAAGATAATGTATTTTATCTCCACTGGAGTAATAACATTCAACATATAAGCATGCTTTGGAATCACAATTAGCTGTGATATTAAATCACCTTATTCCAAATTCGTGACAAATATTGTACATATACATTATATATATATAATATTATATAATATTATATTAATATATATAAAATATATATATATTATATTATAATATATATATATATATTATATATTATTATATATATATATATATATATATATATATATTTAATATATATATTATATATATATATATATATTTTATATATATATATATATATATGAATTAATAGTATTATCATGTATGAAATTTTGTTAAATTCTGGACAGATTTTTTTTCAGACAGCGAGTGTTAACAACCTTCATATAATAAATTTTAGGTTTCTCACCCACACCATTTTCTGGAAAATTAAAAGACACTCACCCTTATCTTAAGGCTGACTTCTGAACCACTCCTTCCATGTAAAAATATATTTATCTCTGGGCACAAAATTTTCTCACGTAAACATTTTGTTAAGTTTTTTCCTTAGCATCAAGGGAGAAACATTTTGACGTCACCGAGTTTTACCATCCTAATATTTTCTTACATTAAGTTTTTTTTGAGCGTAGTATGGATTTTTTCAGCAATGAAATAATTAAAACTATGCTCAACAAAAAAAGCAAAAGTTATTCACGTGTTAGCTCAATAAATAAAAAATTCATCACGTTATGTTTTTCTTAAACCATTTAATGAGTGCATTGATACAGTATAATCTTGAGGTTAGAACGTCAGGGGGGAAAGTAAAATATTTTGAAACCATCCCGGGGCTGTAAGAAATATGGCTTAACCGGGTTTACCTATCGTTATGAGGCTCTTAGCTGAGGGGTTTTTTAAAGGCCACGGTGAGAGCTAAACCCCACAAATGATATCATTGGTTATAATGACCATTTTTTTAAAAAGGGGTGCCCGGGTAAGCCACGGAAGGCCTCTGTCAGAGCCCAAGCTCCAAAGGCGGGTCATCATCTACAATGCCGCTCAGAAAAACATGTCTGTTTCCTGACAAACCTTACTTACCTAGTAAGCACCACATCGTGGACAGCAACAAAACTGAGTTCGAATCATGCTGGCCACGATCTTTCTATGTATATCCTCTATTTTTGATTATGCATAATAATAATTTTAATAAATCTTTATTTCTACAAGTACCCATGGTTGTAATGAATGGTCAGGTACCCTTTGTATGATGGGTGAACATAGCAAAGTGTAAGGAAACACGCCCAAGTTTTCTACCCTGGAGGGAATCGAACCCGGGACCCTCGCCATGTAAGCGAGAGCACACTTCTAATGTACGTAGTTTCTGTAATAAAAAAACGGCCGTTTCACACCATTGATGGATCAAGTTATTAAGTGAATCCGAGACTTCACGATGGCTTTTAGTTAATCAAATTACTGTTCGTTATATTTTTATTAAGCACCATATCCATCTGTGGCGGTAGTCAAAAGTTTAAAGAGTACATATGGGTCAGGGACTTTTTAATGTATTTAATATTTTTTTATTATGCACCCATACCATCGGGGGGCGGAGTCAAAAGACACTGAAAAAGATCAATGTATAAAGATTGAAGTTAATTAACGATTCTCTGTCATCCATAAATGCCTCAACCCCATTAAGCATAAATTGTGGCATGCTTGTGTCAGAAGCCAAAACACAGGTATGGTAGATTTGGACAGTGGGTCAGGAGTGCACATGTGTGGATCCATCTCAATTGGTTCAGATGCGTGATAAAACTGATAATTGGAAAGCTGTAGCTTTAAAAGAGGAAAAAGATTTACAACTTGGTTTTCAGGTAGTAGTTTGAGACAATATACGAGAAAAATTCAATGAATTTAATGATTTAAGGCTCAGGGAGATTGACTACCAGTGAGTCCATCTTCACCCATTCTATCTCAGGAGGCCACATGTCTATGGTGCATCCAACAAAATAAGCAGACTTTGGATGTCACTACCGCGGCCCCGGCTGGGTTACAAGTATCTTTGGCGGGTTAAATCACCACTCCCAGAGTGACCAAACGAAATGTAAACTTTGCCAGTGGACTATTGTCACACCCTGCGTCATTATGTACTGGAGTGCGATAAAATTAATGAATTTAGAAACAACTCACTCAGAAGTGTTCAAGAAATGGCCCAAGTATTTATCCACAGTGGTATATTACAGAGCATTCTGGAGAAATACCCTGACTTTGCTAGCTGTAAATAAAGCATTACCACATGTGTGCATGTGTGTTGTGTGTGGTGTGGGTGTGTGGTGTGTGTGTGTGTGTGTGTGTGTGTGTGTGTGTGTGTGTGTGTGTGTTTGTGTGGTGTGTGATGTTTGTGTGTTTTGGTGTGTGTGTGTTGGTGGTGTGTGTGTGTGTGTGTGTGTGTGTGTGTGTGTGGTGTGTGTTTGTGGTGTGTGTTGTGTGTGTGTGTGTGGGTGTGTGTGTGTGTGTGTGTGTGTATGTGTGTGCACTCACCTAGTTGAGATTGCAGAGGGTCCGAGTCCAAGCTCCTGTGTGAGTGGGTGTGTGTGTTAGTGTTTTGTGTTTGTGTGTTTCGTGTGAAAGTGTATGTGTGTGTGTGTGTGTTGTGTGTGTATGAGTGTGTGTGTGTGTGTATCACCTAGTTGTACTCACCTAGTTGAGGTTGCGGGGGTCGATCCGAGCTCCTGGGCCCCGCCTCTTCACTGATCGCTACTAGGTCCTCTCCCTGAGCCGTGAGCTTTATCATACCTCTGCTTAAAGTAGGGATGGATCCTCCTCCACTACATCGCTTCCCAAACTATTCCACTTACTGATACTCTGTGGCTGAAGAAATACTTCCTAACATCCCTGTGATTCATCTGTGTCTTCAGCTTCCAACTGTGTCCCTTGTTTACTGTGGCCAATCTCTGGAACATCCTGCTTTGTCCACCTTGTCAATTCCTCTCAAATATTTTGTATGTCGTTATCATGTCCCCCTATCTCTCCTGTCCTCCAGTGTCGTCAGGTTGATTTCCCTTAACCTCTCCTCGTAGGACATACCTCTTAGCTCTGGGACTAGTCTTGTTGCAAACCTTTGCACTTTCTCTAGTTTCTTCACGTGCTTGGCTAGGTGTGGGTTCCAAACTGATGCCGCATACTCCAATATGGGCCTAACATACACGGTGTACAGGGTCCTGAATGTGTGTGTGTGTGTGTGTGTATGAGTGTACTCACCTATTTGTACTCACCTATTTGTGGTTGCAGGGGTCGAGTCTTAGCTCCTGGCCCCGCCTCTTCACCGGTTGCTACTGGGCCCTCTCTCTCCCCGCTCCATGAGCTTTATCAAACCTCGTCTTAAAACTGTGTATGGTTCCTGCCTCCACTACGTCATTTTCTAGGCTATTCCACTGCCTTACAACTCTATGACTGAAGAAATACTTCCTAATATCTCTTGACTATTTGTGTCTTCAACTTCCAATTGTGGCCTCTTGTTTGTGTCCCCCCTCCCTGGAAAATCCTGTCTTTGTCCACCTTGTCTATTCCACACAGATTTTATATGTCGTTATCATGTCTCCCCTGACCCTCCTGTCCTCCAGTGTCGTCAGGCCGATTTCCCCTTTAAACTTTCTTCATAGGACATTCCCTTAGCTCTGGAACTAACCTTGTGGCAAACCCTTTTTACTTTTCTCTAGTTTCTTGACGTGCTTTTTTCAAGTGCGGGTTCCAAACAGGTGCTGCATACTCCAGTATGGGCCTGACATCACGGTGTACAGTGTCTTGAACGATTCCTTACTAATTATCGGAATGCTTTTCTCAGTTTGCCAGGCCCCATATGCTGCAGCAGTTATCTGACTGATGTGTACTTCCGGAGACATGCTCGGTGTTATACTCACCCCAAGATCTTTCTCCTTGAGTGAGGTTTGCAGTCTTTGGCCCCCTAGCCTTACTCTTGTCTGTGGTCTTCTGTGCCCTTCCCCTATCTTCATGACTTTGCATTTGGCAGGAATTAAATTCGAGAAGCCATTTGCTGGACAGTTGTCCCCCGTCTGTCCAGGGCTCTTTGAAGTCCTGCCTGGTCCTCATCAGATTTAATTCTCCTCATTAACTTCAAAATCATCTGCAAACAGGGACACTTCTGAGTCTAAAACCCCTTCCATCATGTCGTTCACATATACCAAAAATAGCACTTGGTCCTAGGACCGACCCCTGTGGGACCCTGCTCGTCACAAAGGGGCCCACTGTGATACATCATTAAGTACCATGACTCGTTGTTGCCTCCCTGTCAGGTATTCTCTGATCCATTGCAGTTCCCTTCCTGTTATATGCGCCTGATGCTCTAGCTTCTGCACTAATCTCTTGTGAGGAACTGTGTCAAAGGCCCTTCTTGCAGTCCAAGAAGATGCAATCAACCCACCCCTCTCTCTCGTGTCTTACTTCTGTTATTTTATCATAAAACTCCAGAAGGTTTGTGACACAGGATTTGCCTTCCGTGAATCCGTGCTGGTTGGCATTTATACTCTTGTTCCGTTCCAGGTGCTCCACCACTCTCCTCCTGATAATCTTCTCCATAATTTTGCATACTATACACGTCAATGACACAGGTCTATAGTTTAGTGCCTCTTTTCTGTCTCCTTTTTTAAAAATGGGAACTACATTTGCCGTCTTCCATATCTCAGGTGTGTGTGCGTGTGTGTGTATGAGTTTGTGTATGTGTGTGTGTTTTGTGTGTGTGTGTGTGTGGGTGTGTGTGTGTGTGTGTGTGTGTGTGTGGGGTGTGTGTGTTGTGTGTGTGTTGTGTTTAGGTTTTGTGTGTGTGTGTGTTGTGTGTATGAATTTGTATGTGTGTGTGTGTGCGTGTGTTGTAATCTGGGACTGCCCGAGTTATTTGCCATTCATTACCGCAAGACTCGCTCACCTATAGTTGGCTTTATTGCCACAACTGGCAGACTTTTCTTATTGAGCAACGATTGTCTCAAAGAAGTCGAGCGTATACCATGGCGGAGGAAGGAGGGTATATACCTTGGCGGAGGAAGGAGGGTGTATACCCTGGTGGAGGAAGGAGAGTGTATACCATGGTGGAGAAAGGGAGACGTACTATACCATGGCAGAGGAAGGAAGGTGTATACCATGGTGGAAGAAGGAAGGTGTATACTATGGTAGAGGAAGGAGGGTGTATACAATGGCAGAGGAAAGAGGGTGTATACCATGGCAGAGGAAGGAGGGTGTATACCATGGCAGAGGAAGGAGGGTGTATACCATGGCAGAGGAAGGAGGGTGTATACTATGGCAGAGGAAGGAGGGTGTATACCATGGTGGAGGAAGGAGGGCGTATACCATGGTGGAGGAAGGTGTATGCCATTTTGGAAGGAAGGAGTATACCATGGTGGAGGGAGGGAGTACAGCATGGTGGAGGGAAGAAGGGTGTATACCATGGCGGTGAAAGGAAGAGTATACCATGGAGGAGGAAGTGAGTATAGCATGGCGAAGGAAGTATGGTGTATACCCAGGCGGAGGGAGAAAGGGAGGTATATACCATGGAAGAGGAAGGGAGTATAGCATGGCGGAGGAAGGTAGTATAGCATGGAGGAGAGAGTATAACAAGGTGGAGGGAGGAAGGGAGTATAACATGGTGGAGGGAGGAAGGGAGTATAGCATGGTATCTGTATTGATTTTCGTGTGCAGGTTTGGTACTAATCCCTCCAGGACCTTCCAAGTGTATATTATCATGCATCTCTCGCCTGCGTTCCAGGGAATACAGATCGAGGGCCTTCAACCGTTCATAAGAACATAAGAACATAAGAACGAAGGAACACTGCAGAAGGCCTACTGGCCCATGCGAGGCAGGTCCAAGTCTCCTACCGGCTTAAGCCAATGCACCCAACCTAGTCAGGTCAGGTCACATTGACTTAAGGGAGGAACACGGCAACCGACCTGGTAGCACAAGCTATCAGGTCTAACTCACACCCACCCACATCTACTCATGTATTTATCCAACCTATTTTTAAAGCTACACAACGTTCTGGCCTCTATAACGGTACACTCTCCAGGTCAGCAATGTCGCCAGCCTTGAAGGGGGCCGTTACTGTACAA